GCATTACATTAATGAGTAGTCGAGAAACAGCTTAAGCAGTCAGTGACGTAAATTAGGTCAAGCTTCCCAGCCTATTAAGAATAATAGTATCAAAATTGAAAGTAATATGGAAGGTTCAAGTGCTTAGGAGGGGCTGGAGGTTCTGCAAGGGATCACTGAGTGAGGTTATGAGAGTAGAAATCTCGAAAAGAGAAACTTGAAAATTAATGCAAATACGCTTAATTATCCTATGAATACTGTGAAAATCACAAGAGAAAGTTAAGCGGCTTCTAAAGGATAAAGTTAGTTTGGGATTAAGCAGAGCAAAAGGTCCTGTCACTATTGAAAACATCACGATTTCGTTTAGGAAATTTTTGAATACGGTTCGCCGCAAGTTCTAAACATCATATCGGCTGACACTCGATGAGTTGCACCCATCAATCACGAGCAAATTGTGCAGTTAAGTTGACAGTGATAGATGTCGTTTAATTCTCTTCATTATATGCTACAAAGCTGACCCTGACAACCGCCACAAATAATTTATTCGAGGCCGCCTAAACAGTTGTTTCAAAATCTTACGCTTCTCTAACTAAATATGCTTTGTTCACTAATAACAAAGTGGAGATCCTCAAACTATTGATACAATCAAGGGAACTCAAAGCCTTAAAAAGTTGCCTATACTTATTTCGTGATCTATACACTTGATTATTGAGCAATGGATACCTTTGAAAATGATAACCACTTAATAGTACGTAAAATCGTCAAATGTATTATGTCGATGACACAAGGTTGCGTAAGAACTGCTGAAATATCACTGGTTAGTATGAACATTTAAGAAAATATGTAAGAAATTTCGAGCTGAAAACCTATATCTAAAAATGTAAATGATGAATGCAGGAGTTACTTGTTTGATTGTTAGGGAGCAATGGACGTTTATCTCTTCCCACTTATATAAACCAATTTTGGAGGTTTTCCTATAATGATTATTTTGTCTTATAAATCAAATATAATGTCGGCTAAATTGTAGCTCTCATAAAAACAAAATGCTTTATAGTTTTTGAAAAAGTCAGATTCCTTCTAGCAGTTATTACGCTATCAACAAATTCAATCAAATTTCAAACATGATCATTTACTTATGACGTGACTTCTATTACGACTATGACGTGATTCTTTAAAACAGCTTCTGCACCACATTCAAAAAAGGCCTGGAAAGGGCAGGGAGAGCATAGAGCATACTTTAATCAAGTACAATTCGATTATGCTCGCAGTGTCCATCTTATACTGCGTAAGCGTTAACTACCGAAAGTAGCAGCACTGAGTGTACGTTTCAAGAATTCTCCTTAAGAAAATAAGTCTGAATGCAGGCTGACTCTCACAAAATAATGGGAAACAACGCGAAAATTTGATAATTCTGATTCACACTTACGTATGGTCGCTTAATTGATGCAGTGAGATTTTGTATTTGGACGTTCTCGCGTACATAGCGTGTTAAAGGTCAGATGATCCGCACAGTTTATACAGCATTTAGCTGTACATAGCTTTTGTGGAAGTTTAGTGATTGTTCAAAAAAATACGCCTTGGTTGGTATTAGAATTTTGACGTTAATGGGGACATTTTCGCCTCTAGTCCAGATACCCACTTTGGCAATAATTCACTTAGTGGTTTGTACACAAAGATGTTAGTACCTCGCAGAAGAATACTCGCCATTTTCACATGATTTGAGATGTCGTTTGCAAAGCGCATTGATGCGCATATGAAAACTTAATAGAAAACGATTCCATGAAAAGTCTTAGAGTTTCTAAAATTGACAAGTGGAGCCGCAATGAACTATTAAGAAAAAAGTAGAATGAGACAAGAAGTCCATC